AACCATCATTCTCAGCAAACTGACACAAGAACAAAAAAGCCAAACACCACATGTTTTCACTCATAGGCAGGTGATGAACAGTGAGAACCCTTGGGCACAGGGAAGGGAACAACACTCACAGGGCTGGGGGCGGGGTAGAGGGGAGGGGAATAGGGACAGCAGGGAGGAGAGGGGGGGATGTGGGCGGGGGTGGGGTGGGGATGGAGACAGCAAACCACCATGGCATGTATGTACCTATGCAACAATCCTGCAGGGTGCAGGACGTGCACATTTATCCTGGGTGCAGAAGTGATAGCAAAGAGGTGTGTACTAGCCACGGCTACACAGAGGAAGGTGACCTCTTTTGTGATGCTAGGTTGATCCCGACTGCACAAACCTTTCCCTACAATTAAGAGAGGCCACACGCTCTAGGCCTTTCTGGTAGCATTTCTTAAATGTCAAAGAAGTCTCTTTTTTTTTTTTTAAATTGCTAGAATACATACCAATGGAAATGAAGTTTCAGTGATTATTTTGGCTTTCAAATTGGCTAAACAGACTACTAGTCTAATTGCGTCTGCAGAACACTGCCCAGCCATAGTGCTAGAGCCAGCTCTCAGGAGATCCCAACAAGCTGCTGCTATCAAACCATATGCTATTCCCATCGTTAAAGCCTCATTCGAAGTTTCACAGATGGGAGCTAGTTCCCTTGCCAAAGTCAGAAGCACCTGAAACACTCCCCACAGTTGCAAGACCAAAGGCAATTAGAGGTTCACACAGAGAGCTTATGCTATATGTATGTATAAGTGGACTTCAGAAGGTTTAGAGGCATGCAGAGGTAAGGGCTGTATCACGGGCCATTAATTTCACAGCATCATGTCTTATCGAAAGATCTTTTGATATGTTCATTCAGGATAAAAATGTGGCATCAAGGAGGATGTGAGTATTTGTGGGAATCCAAGCTCTTTAACAAAGAAGTGTGGTGTCCCAGGGTTTGGTCTCAACTCCTTTTCCCCGACTCCAGTCCTTCTGGTTCCTATACCTTCCAGTGACAAGGAATCCTGAATACGTGTGCGCCCAACTTCCCTGCCACAGCATATGGTGTTGCCTCCATTACCTTCCTAGTGAACTGTGATACGTTCTATAAAGCCTAATTTTAAAGATTTTAAGAATTTTTCCTCTGCTGAAAATTCACCAATGGGTTGTCATTTCTCCAGAGAAAATACTCAGATCTTCCAGTGGCCCAAAAGACTGCAGGATCAGTTTCCTACATCTCAAGCCCCACCTTCCAATACCTGTCTTCTGACTATTTTCCAGCTTCATTTACCTTTGTGACCATCAGTGAACCTGTGAGGTCAGGGTTAGTCCTGAGGAAGGAGAAAAAAGTCAGTGCATGCAAGGAGCCATGGGAGAGCCAGAAGCTAGTGCATGCTATGGTTCTGAGACTGTCTTCAATGTTGGTCTTAGATGAGAGGATCAGAGGAGCTGATGGAGGAGGGGATAGTGAGATGTTCTAAAATTTATACAATCATTCAAGCAAAACGTGCCGAGCACACTACATGTGCCTAGCATCTAGTCCTTACAGGAATTCTGTGAGGTAGGTCTTACTCTTAGTTCAGATATTAAAAGTAGACTACAAGCTCCAGGAAGTTAAGAATCCTTCTGGGTCCACACAGCTAGTAGACAGCAAAGCTGGGATTTGATTCAGGATCCTTTTCTTTAACCCCAAAGCTGAAACTCTCTTTTATTGTTCCTTGGTGGGTCACTTAGGTTTTACATAATAAAAGATTAGCAAGGGGAATGCAGCCGCCTTGTGTGTTTTCAACAATGTATTCGAGGGTGGTCAGATGTCTGAGAAGGTAAAGGGTTTGTAGCCTTTGTATCAGTACACATCAGCTCCTGCCCTTTTCCAAACGTAATTACATAAGCAAAAGGACCAATTAGGAGTGGAGAGACAGTGGAAAGAGCAGAGGCACTGGAGGCTTGAGGTTGGTCGTATTCAACTGAGTATCTTTGGGTAAACTTCTGAATCTCTGAGTCTGTTTCCTTGCCTACAGATTGTGATAAATAACATTTTCTTTCAGAATGGTAAATACCCCATGTGTATGAAAGGCCTCCTTGCAACAACACCTTTTAAAGTTTCCACAAGGAAATGACATAAAGCACTTCGGCTCACAGTTAATTGGCCAAAGCAAGTCCCATGATGACACTTAACTCTAAGGAAGATCAGTCCTAGCATATATCTGGAAAAAGAACCAAAAATACTTGGTGAACACCTTTGTCATCATTCTTTCTACCACATTCTTTGAAAATCGATGTATACTTGGATTTCCCATTTGAAATCATGTTTTTTGGAATGGCTTTTAAACAAATTGTAATGAGATTTAATAGTAGTGCTGCTATTTATGGAGTGACAATGCCCTCTCCAGATGCAGCCCAAAAGGATACTAAGGAAGGAAACATCTTCCAGGGAATGGAATAAAGGGCCACAAATAATACTTCCCACTCTGAGGGATCCTTATAACATCTGGCCCAAGGGATTCCAGAATTGCTGCGGACCAAAGACTAATGTGACTAATGTATTTCTGTAATTTCCCGTCTTTCTTAATGAAAGAGTTTTCTGGTTGTTCTGCCTCATTCTACTGTTGTATGGTGTGTGCATATGTGCACGTATGTGCATGCATGAATGTGTGTGTTTTGGCAGGGAGGGCATGGTGGTTGCATTGGTGGAAAGTAATTTGCCCTATTCATATATAGGTCTCCACATCAGATGCAGCTACATCTTGGCCTGCTATAGGCCTCTGTGCATCTCACCGTGATGAAGAGATCACTTGGAATCACTTGGAGAGCTTGGGCATTGAGGCTGGAACCAGGAAGAGGTGAGAATTTGGGCATGTCCCACTTAAGGAAGGACGGGAGTATTTTCCATGTGGAAAAGAGAGCTAAATAAATATCTGTTGACCCGGTGGACAAACTATGGTGTTCATCAATGTGAATAAAGTATTTTCCATTTTTCTTCTAGATACAGTGTACATTTCAGTTTCCTGCCCTGAGGTAGTTAGATGTGGCCTTATGACTTGCTTTAGCCAATGAAATAGGAATAAAAATGATTGGTATCACTTGTAGGTGGAAACTTTAAGAGTTTGCATACAATTTTCCATGTTTTCTTTTCCTCCTGCTAGGTATCCAGCCATGCAATGTGTCTGCTCTGTCTATTGACTGAGGATAAAGCAGAAAAGAGCCTTCAGTGATTTTCAGTAAATATGAAGTGAGGATTATTTTAGGAACTAAGATTTGGGGCTTGTTGTCACTGCAGTGCAACTTAGCTTATTCTTGATTTCAGTTCTTTCTAAAATCACGTTGTATTTTGTGGGGCTACTTTGGCCCTCTGGGCAGTAGGCGTGTAACTCAGCAGCAGTTGCTGTAGCTGGCCTTGCAGACAGCGGGGGCAGGTTTCCACTGCAAACTTGGGTAACAGGGATTCGGATGTGGTTTCTGAAGGGCTCTTGAAAAGAATCATGGTAAGGTTCACGGAAGCAGACATGATTAGGGCAGTTTCTTCTTATGGGCACTGCCCAGGCAATGTTCCGTAACACCCATAGGCTGGTTGTAGTGTCTGGCCGGGGCACTAAGCCACCCCAGGGGGCCGTTTCTCTAACATAGCTGTGTTCAGTGGTTATTGATTCCTGTGCAACCTTTGAATCAGTGCCTCACTATTACTACATAGTTTCATGAATTCTTACCAGGTGATACAGCCTACCTGGCATTCTGGGAAGCCTGCAACTGAAAATACTCTCATTACCGAGCTCTGCTGAAATATCTGATAAACATTTTGCTATCACGTGACACATGTCATCTCAAGTAGGTGGGCTCAGCTCAAAAACAGTTTCTCTGTTCTTGCCTCTTTTATACCTTATCCCATTCCTGGGTTTGGAATCTCTGCTGCTTCCAGGCTGCACTGCACACACTCCTTTCCATCTTCTTTTATGTGGAGCTGCCCAGAACTCACTTTGTCCAACCTACAGGGGCATGTGTCTGTCCTAGTTCCCTCTTAGGTCAGTGGGTCTTCTGAAGGCATATTCTTATACTACAGCCCACCTCTATCCCCAGCCCCTCATGGTGAAAAGTCAAAGTCACAAAGCTTGGTAATTTTCACAGAATCTATCAACACAAGCTTGTGTCATATCTCAGAGTACTAATCTGCTTATTTGGGGAGCATTTCCATTTCCTTCTGCTCTCTTATTGGTACTTCAAAGCATACCCATCCCTTAACGGAGCTGAAACAAAGACTCCAGTAGACGTGAGTGAGAGACAGAAAGATTACATGCATGCTTGGAAAGGTGGGTTTCCTGATCCCAAGGAGGAGATTAGCCTGGGTTTGGGGATTAGGAGAGCAGCAACAGCACAGGAAGGGAGAAGCGGCAGACACCTTCAAGTGGGAAGGCATAAAGTGCCCCTGTCCTTAGATGAGCTGACTTTAACAGTGGCTTTCTGTGGCCTTGTGGGCTGAGCTGACCTTGAGGGTGGCTTTCTGTGGCCTCAAGGCTTGTGGACAAGCTGCCTTCTCTAGCCCTGGGCATTTGTGAGTTCCCAGAACAAAAGGTTTGGGGCTTCGACAAGTTTTGTGGGAATAAAGGGAGATCATTGGTTCCAGCTCAAGCTAGCATTCATCAGAGCCAACTAGAAGTTTTGACACAGGATTCTATACTCAGTTTATTTCTCTGTATAGACGCAGTCTGGAAATGAATAAGACTTCAAAACAATAAAAGACATTAGCACCTCAGAGACAACCATGAAACTGCCCATGTTGATCTAAAATCAAAATAAAAAGCTTAAGCTTGTTACTGTATAATATATTTAGTTTGTGGATATATACTTATTTTTATATGTCCTGTATTTTTTTGGTAAGGGATAGTGATTTTTCTAGCCTATTCTCCCACCACTTTCTTTTCCTTTTTCTCTACCAATATCTTCCAAGAGCTGTTCACAAACAGATCAGGGAAAAGGGTTTCACTTCGGATTACCTTGCCAGCAAGCGCCGACCGTCAGTTGCATGGCTATGTGAGATGGATGAATGGGCCAGTCGTTGGTCACCAGGTATGGTTCATATGTTGCTCCATCCATGTATAAGGTTACCACAGGAAACTCCACGTTGATGACATAGTAGTGCCACTCTTTGTCACAAATCTAATGAAAGAGAAGCAACATTGAAAATTGAATATACAATAAAACATCAAACAGGCTTTCACTCTTTAAATATGAAAGGGGAACAATACATTTTGAGCTCAACAACTTTTATTGCAAAGCACTCAAGGAATATAACACTTGACATACACTGAAGTTATACAAACTCATCATCAAACGTGCTGGGGCAAACTAGGGAAAAGAGAAACACCCAGGAATCCAACCATCAGGCAGATAGTAGGTGATGGGGAGATTTTCAAGCCTTATTCTGGTGCATCTGGGGAGACAGAGAAGAAACACAAGTGGGTCCTACTGGCCTGGACTCAGGCACCCTCTCATGTACTTTTTCACCCAAGACTCCTGGTCTCAGGGCTGGGTATCTTGTGTCAAAATTGCCAGTTGGCTCCGATGAGTGCTAGGCTGATCAGGAACCAAGGATCTCCCTTTATCCCCACACCAGTTGTTTAAGCTCCAAACCCTCTGTTCTGGGAACCCACAAATGTCCAGGACTATAGAAGCCAGCTTAGTGGATTGGTGGAGATGCTGCGGGCTGGAACAGAGTCACAATACTTAACCTCAAGGGACTGAACTCATACAGCATGAGACAAGATAGAAACCAAGACAGCAATGTCTGGGAAAGGGAGAAGGGAGGCATGAAAGGCGGCCAGACTGGAGAATGAGGCCACCCTCTGACCCATCCCTAAGCAAGTGCGTTGGGAGTCAGGCTAGACTCCCCTTCATACTCCCGCTAATCCCCCTGTGCCCTCAGGAGGCCACCTCTGAAATGTCTCTCATCGATCCTCTTCTCTCCATCAACTCTACCATCTGTGGCAGAGGAGACAGATGAGTTCTGAATGAAGGTAACCCCAAGGTGAGGGCATCAAAGCCCTCCCTACAATCACGCTGAATTAAATGTGCTGTTTCTCATGAATAGACAGCACCAACGGGGATGCTAAATAATCTTTCTCCTTTCATTTTGAAGTAAGATTTTTTTTTCCTTAATGTTCTTTTTATATTGTCCTGTCTCATGTTTCAGAAAATTGCTCCTTTTGAAGCCCATTTGTCTGATAAAGCCTGATGAATATTTTAGGAGACTTTGGAAGGTAAGCAGAAGGGGTCCGGGCAGATCTCTCTGAAGTTCTGTTATAGTCAGTGAGAGGCCCAACCCAGTTCCCACTCCCCTCATGCTTGATGCCCTGAACCAAACCCTGGGCTAGGTGCAGGACTCTCAAACTAGGCCTGTGAGTGGGCTGGGGTGACCCCAAGACATAGGTGGCACACAGGCAGACCTGAAGACAGACTGTAGGGCCGACAGAATAGTAGACAACTAAATATTTGAATCAAGCACCCAACCTAAAGAGGTAGAAGTACCCTGGGCTTGGGGTTTGCAATCAAGGATAGCCAGGCAACAGAGGTAAATTAGAATATGGTTCACATCCTTAGGATATTGGGAATATCCAGAGGCATCTGGAAACCCCCGGTCAGGCCCGGGGTGGAGAGGAAGCCGGTGACAGTCAGGTAACCCTGACCATACCCCATACCCTGTGGAATGTAGGCAGAGCTCAGAGAACAAACCGGACAGCACTCAGGGCCCACCCCCGATCCTGGCGTCCATGACCGCCCTCACAGTGACCATCCTCTCTGTGTGACTGGCATGTTGAATGCATGTGCTATACATTACAGCAATCCATATCTGCTGAAGCTGGATGGAAGATAATCCTCTGGCATTATCTCATTTACAACACTTAGCATTTTTGTAGGACAATAAAAAAAAATTGCAGAGAATTAGTTCTATAACTCAACAGTAGCAGCATCCCCTCTCAACAATACGTTTTTTTCCTAGGTGTTTTTTCTCCAGTTTTTCCAAAGTGTGCTCCACTGAACAACAGCCCCCATGATGCCCGACATAAAAACAGTGATTCTCAAACTGTAGTCACTTTTCAACCTTACTGAAAAATGGAAACTTTCCTATTTATAGCATTCCTATAAACATCCTGTGAAACAACAGCTGGGAAAGGTCTATTTGAATCACACTGCGTAACAACTTGAGAGTTTGCATGTTTCATTTAGCATCGGCACTAAAATGCCTTCAGAAATTTCATTTTAAGTAGCTGTATAACATGGCTGTACTATACTTATTTCCAGAATTAATCATGTAACAGCTATTATAAAAGGTGCTGTCATAAATTTCTTGTGTATAAATATTTGTTTGCATTTCTGATTATATCCTTAGGAAAGATTCCCGGAAATGGAATCTTTTGACCCCAGTAGGGTCAAAGGCTGGAGTAAGCCTCTTGATACATATTATCAATATTTTTTTTCTGTAAAGGTTGCACCTATTTATACTCCTACTCATACAGTGTGAGAGAACTTATGCATTGTACCCTTGCCACGCGGAGTACTAAAAAAAAAAATCGTGGTCATTTAAAAGGGACACATTTCATCTCATTTTAATATGGGCCACAAAAGATGGCAAGATTCATATTCTCCAAGATGAACAGGGAGAGCATTGTTGGTGTGAAGAACAGCCTCAGCCAAGAGTCAGAGGTAGGAATGCTTGGGAGCTGCCTCAGTGAGCTCCTAATTGGGCATCTAAACAATCTTTTGCTCATACGAGGCTTATGCCTGCAGAGTTTTTCCACCAAGGAATCTATGACAGCAGCTAAGGGAAATGCCTAATTAGGGTTTTATAAATGTGGATCTATGATCAGGAAGAGACCCACATTGACCCTCTGCTAGAACTGCAGGGACAAACTGTAATTGAAAAATGATCAAGCCAGGAGGCAGCTAAAATAAATGTGACAATTCATAGTTCAACCAAGAAGGAAGAAAATTTAGCAAAGTGACCTTTCCTGGGGGGAGAGAAGAACTTTAATTCCTGACTGTTCATGAATCACCGATGTATATACCCATCTGCACCAGGCATGTCCAAGATCCAAGAATGTCTGATACCATTCCCCAGAATGATGCCCAAGGCCTTGCCTAGACCAAAGACACATGAATCTCTGGACACCTGCAGATGTGCTCCCAAGGCAGGTAGCTGTGGCTTGGCTGTTAAGTAACTCAGAGACCAGAGACTCAGGGATACATGTTCAGGAGGGTAGGATGGACAATGCCAAAGGAGGTCTGAGTTAGGAGCACACTTGCATTTCGGTGTGAGTCGGGGGCCAGGGAAGCCTCCCATGAGATGAGAAAATCGGGTAAGATGTTCTCTGTGTAGTTGCTGACTGGTCGCTCCAAGTGTTATGTAAGTGGCCAGACTGGAAGTTCTGACTTGGTTGCCGCAGCAAATCAGGTGTTTTTGAATGCAACTAATCAACATGAGATATATTCATCTATCAACTATTATGTCTACTAGGTTCTGTAAGAGATACAGAGGTTATGAGATAGATCCTTTGCTTTCAAGGTTTCCAATCGAATGGAGAGAGTATATTAAGGACATAAACTCTTCAAATGTAATGGGACTTGAGGTAAGTGTTGTAGACCAGGTGCAAAGCACTGTGAGGTCCCAGGAAATGGAGAGATTCTTTCCAGGTTGAAGGTGGTGGAATTTAGGATGCATATTAAAGAATGGTTAATATTCCATTAGGAATAGATGGCAAGTAATAACTTTTAAGACAATGAAGCAGAAACCTCTTATTCCTCTATTCATTCATCTGTTGTATAATCAAAGGCAGTAGGTTTGAAGGCATATGAAGACACACATTTACTAAATGCACATTCTGCTTTGTGAACAAAAAAGCACCTGCATTTATGAAGCTTATAGTCCAGTCATGGAATTGACAAAAAGGCTTATAACAGATTGGGATTCGTATCCAGCACAGGTTTGTGCAAGATGCCATGTTAACCCTGTCAAGGTGGATGCGGATGACAGAGTTTGGGAGTGTCAGGCTTCATTTGGGAAAGGTGAAGAGTGTGCGATAAGGAGAGATTAGAAATTGAGGACTTGGATTGCTTTTATTCTGTAGGCAATGGGAGAGCTAGGGGTTTCTAGGTGGGAGAAGGGGGTGATAGTCCTAAAAACAATCAATCTTGGAACATGCTTTTCAATATTGAAGCAGCTTTTCATATTCTTCCTTATACTATTCAATCTTCACCACAACCCTATAAAATAGGAGGACCAATTCTGTCTTTGCACTATTAGAAAATTAAGGAGAAAGGAATGACGGCAGTTTTCAAGATAATTTCTACTTTTAAATGGAGGGGTACATATGCAGATTGTTACATGGGTATATAGTGTGACTCTGAGGTTGGAGGTACAAATGATCCTGTCACACAGGTGATAATAGGTGGTTTTTCAACCCATTGCCCTCTCTTTGCCTCCCCCATCTAGTAGTTTCAGTCTCTATTAGTCCTATATTTGTGTTTAGCTTCCACTTATAAGTAAATTTTATATTTGGTTTTCTTTTCTTGTGTTAATTTTCTTAGAATAATGGCCTTTGGCTCCATCTACGTTGCTGCAAAGGACGTGATTTAATTCTTTCTTATGGCCGCATAGTATTCCATGGTGTATATGTACCACAATTTCTTTATTCAGTCCACTGTTGCTGGGCACCTAGGTTGGTTCCGTGTCTTTACTATTATGAACGGCACTGCGATAAACATACAAATACATGTGTCTTATTGTAAAACTATTTGTTGTCTTCTGAATATATACCCAGTAATAGGATTGCTGGGTCAAACTGTAGTTCTGTTTTAAGTTTCTTCTTCTTTTTTTTTTTTAATCATACTTTAAGTTCTGGGGTTCGTGTGCAGTTGTGCAGGCTTGTTACGTAAGTACACACGTGCCATGGTGGTTTACTGCATCCATCCCCCTGTCATCTACGTTAGGTATTTCTCCTAATGTTATCCCTCCCCAGTAACCCCACTCCCTCCTATTAGTTTCCTAGCTCTCCCACCCCACAACAGGCCCCGGTGTGTGATGTTCCCCTCCCTGTGTCCTCATTGTTCAACAATCACTTATAAGTGAGAACATGAGGTTTTTGGTTTTCTGTTCTTGTGTC